TTTAGAAGTCATTTTTAAAAGGCCAACAGGACTGGCTTCTAGGAACCATAAGCTTGCAGAAATAGCAACTGCAAGTACATATAGGTCAGAGATAAATTTGCAATGTTGGCCTTTGGGGAAAAAAGAGGATAGAAACTGAGATAGAACCTCAACATCACCTGGACATCTTAGGGTTGACAAATATCATTGGGTATTGAGGAGCCAATAACTGTAGCAGAAAGAAGAGCTAGTGAATAGAACGGCTCTTCACTAATTCCTCTCCAGAAAAAGAGAGGGCTTGAGATTGCCCACAAATGCTGAAGACAGTTGTTCCTTATGAGGAGACTACAAGGAGACCACAAGGGAAATGAGGGAATAGCATCTTGCAGGATACAATCTGGGTCAGTCACTGGGATGAGAGGTTTAGTTTTCTGAGCTTTCGCACTTATGCTGGAGCACATTCTCTTTCACTACATTCTCTCACCAGAATACGACAGGCTAAACCTCTGGTACCAGTGACCTTTCCAGATTGGATCCTACAACATTATCCTGGGACACGTATATTCATAATAGCCATCTTGCTCAAACCATGATCAGCACCTTAAGGACACTGGGTTCACATATTTCTTTTTCTAATCATTTTCAGAAATGACTTGTTAATTGCTTTTTAGCTATTAGGAACATTTGGCTCAACAATTCTAAATACAATGGGTGAGTTTCCTTCAATCCTTAACAAAAGAAATTTTGAATACAAGTTCAAGAACTTTAAAAAATTTTTTTTAATGAACAGCAAAGGATGATTTCTGGAAAGTTATAAGAATCCTGATAATGCTTTTATTGTGAATTCTCTCTTAAAAAAACATGATAGGATGAGACTGTGAAGAGTCAGTCTAGTCTAGAGGGAACCAGTTTTCTTTTCATTAGCCATAAGAGGGCACTCCAACATAAGAAATTGTTTTTAACCATAGAGCCTAACAGGATTTTTTTTTCATTCTAATCATGATTATATGTGAATGCAATGAATTTCTTATAAAAGGGATTCTTTGCTTTTTAATCCTTCAGTTTAGTGTCAAAAACATGTTTTTAAAGGAGAATATTTCAATGACTTACCAATATAGAATGAAGCAAAATATTTTAACATTGCACATTTTGAAGGATATTTTTGAATGATGTACCCAGAAATTAATTTTAAGAGTGCTGCCTCTATACTGTGGATTGTGTTATTAAAATTGTTTATACTTCTTGTGAGGAAGGGGGTAACCATTTCTTTATATATTTATTTTCTTTACTATATTTTTATTTTTTCTTTCTTTTCTATTTTCCTTTTTTTAGTATTAATTTTTATCTCTATGATTATATTAAAAATAAATATAAAAATATATATAATTCGCATCATTCACAGATTAATGATACTGAATCCTGAACTGGCAGTTAACCTCCCCTAGCAATTTCATGTAGACAGACCTCCCCCACCCCGCCATCAATATCAACTAGTTACAAAGGAAGAGAGAAGATGTGGTTTACTAGGAAACATAAAATCTGTCTCTCCAGACTACAAGGAGACTCTCTTAGCTGATAATTAGTAAGAATTTGGCAGAAGGACTAATTTGTTTCTGGGGTTGTTCCTAGAGGGTGAGCTCAGAGAATTAAAAATCTTCACTAAATTATCTGCAGTTTCAGCAACAATTAATCTGATAAAAACCTCAGGAGATGGACTTTACAGATTTATAACTTTTGTTTCTTGTTTCAGACTTCTCAGATCTTGTATTTTGGTCCTTTTAACCTCTGTGGAAACTTTTAAATTGAAATTTACAGTTATCCTTTTACTATTTGGGGAGATTTTATACCCTTGGTATTGCTTGTCTATCAGCATTATTTAACATAATAAGGATCCTCAAAATGTATGATTTTTGGAATCTGTTTTGATAAAAACATAGCTTGATTTTCAAGATATTTGTTAGGCTGCATTAAGAACTATGAGCTCTACTTACTTTCAAGAGAAACCCACCTTGCTTTAAATATTATTTTTATTACTAAAATTGAAAATGTAGATTTATTTTTCTTGGTTACCACAATATTACATGATTTGTGCAGCTGAACATTCCTAAATAGACATTTTAATTAGTTATATTTATTTTATTTTTTCTAATTCCAATATTATCTTTTATTTAAAACTGATCTGGGCCTGTTTTTCCTTCCTCCTCCCCCAAAAAGAAACTTTTCACCCCCAAAAACCTTTTTTTAACCACAAGAGACACTCCAACACAAGAAATGGTGAGACAGAATTTTGCTGTTTTCCAGTTTTCTTTTCATTAGCCATAAGAGAGCACTCCAACATAAGAAATTGTTTTTAACCATAGAGCCTAACAGGATTTTTTTTTCATTCTAATCATGATTATATGTGAATGCAATGAATTTCTTATAAAAGGGATTCTTTGCTTTTTAATCCTTCAGTTTAGTGTCAAAAACATGTTTTGTGTATATTGTTTTTGTGTAGTATATCAAACATTATTGATTTTATTTTAATCTTTTACTCTTGACTGTTTCATATAATTTAATGAGTGCAAACAGAAATACTAAGCATAAGGTTACATATTATTTTTCAAAAATGAGTAAAAGATAACAGAGCAAGGACCTAAGATGGAAAAATCTAAGCATGATATTTCTTCTCTAGAATCTCTGAAGTCTTATATCAGAGATCTATGTATTGGATGATAATCTTCCTATGATTTCATTATCTTGGCAATCACATTAGGAAATGCAAGCAAATTTCAGTTCTCCTCAGGCAAATATTAATAACATTTATGACAGACTGGTAATTCAAGTAAAACCTCAGAATAAGTGGGTCAAAGAATGGAAGACAGAATATTCTGCATTACTTCTATTTCAGAAATTTTAATAGACAGAACTGAAGAATTTGGCAGCAAAACTGGAATTAATGGAAACAGTTCCATGAAAGCAATAAAATACAAATATAATACAAATGAACTATTCCATTCTATACATCTGCTTAAATGAAGGCAAAGCTTTAGTGTGCACCCAGGATGATGCAAAATGATGCCTAACTCTTTTTATATAATGAAAAAGATGTAAGAGATCTGAACTTGAATAATCAACTGGTGTTTCTGGAAATGGAGGGAGAAGATATGGAGGAAAGAAAGATTAGGGAGAGCAGGCTGGAGGGAAAGAAAGAACATTGCTGACAGCTTCCCACAAAGAAATTCAATGGGAAAGCCAAGAGGAAGTCAGAAGTTGCTTCTTAACCATGTGGCTAAGTAAGAAAGTTATTGGAAAAATATTTTATAGATGGATGGCACCAAAATAGAACTGTTTGGCTTGAATTGAAGAATTATGTGTGTTAAGACAATTGTTGTATTCCAACATAAGAACCTTACCCCACTGTGAAACATGGTGGCGGCAGTATCATGATTGGGTCTGCTTGTGGACCAAGTCAGTTTGCTATCATTGATGGATTTTATTCTGAATTGTACCACCAAATTCTACAAGATAATGTCAGAGTATTTGTCTATGAACTGAAACTCAAGAGCAAGTGGATCATGCAGCAAGATAATGATCTAAAACATACAACATGCATAACTAAAAATATTTAAAGCAGAAGAAAGTTAATGTTTTGGAACGGTCAAATCAATGAATATTTTCATCTAGTTTCCTTGGCAGCAATGTGAAAGAATTACCATTGTTTCTTCCAGGACATATTTTCAGTTTTGCTTAATATTTGCATGGTTTTAACATGCAAGGTCAACTAGGTACTATCATCACTTGTAGACATAGCCTACTTATTTTCTCACACTAGCCTTACTTCCCTCAAGTCTAATATCTATTAGCTTTGTGATACTGTATTAATCACAAAGGGGGGAAAGTCTCACTAAGCTCAAAAGAGTTTACAAATAAAAGTATGGACAGGATGCTTAGATATATTTATGTGTCAGAGAATTTGTCCCACATTATCTGTTTTCAACTGTATCCTTAAAGTTCAGAAAATATAACAAGAGCATTATAATTTTAGGATTTAAAGAAAATGTTTTTCCATTTTGCTTTCTTAGGGGCTTTTTCCTACTAGTTCCTACCTATAAACATGCACTGACATCTTTTTTCTGTATTGGATCCAAAACATTGTTTTCATCTTACTTCATTGCAACAAAACAAGGCTCAATTGCTTTAAATTGTTCTACTGTGTTGAAGTAGCATTTTATCACTTATTTTGACTGTTTTATTTATTTATTTAGAAAATTTGTATCGCCGCCTACTCGCACATGGTGATTCAAGGTGGCTTACATCAATAAAAACATTCAATAAAAATAAAATAACAAAAGGAAAAATAATATTTTTGTTGAAGGGAAGTCTTATCTTTTAGCTTTGACACCAATTCCTATAGAGAGAAGTCCCAGCAGCGATATGAAGCATAGATGGGATCAGGATCAACAATCGGAATAGGAAATTTCACACTGACACATTTTTAAGGCTCTCAAGGAAGGAAGAAGACACTTCAACTCGGCAGAGGGGAAAGGACTTAAACTGCAAATTTAAAGTGATTGAATTAATCCTATTATATTAATTATATGAATTATATCAAGTTAATATAATTATATCGAGTTAACCTCATTATATTAGTAGACTTACGATTAAGCTATCACAAGGAGCATTCATAAAGCTTAAGTCAGATAAACATGCCACCCAGCTACCCCTACGAAGGCTTCCTTTGCAACCCTCTCGACATGTTTCTGATTTTTGTAGAATTAATTCGGAATATTGACGTGCAGCAGAACGGCCGAAGATAAAACCCGCTTCACCAGGAGGCTTCAGATGATGGATGGAGAAGTCTCGGAATAGTTACGAACCGAGAGACGCTACTGTTCTCAAAAACACGGAATCATAAATAAATAGGGCCGAGAGCAGCTCAGATTCCCCCCCCCCCCGCAGTGGAAAAAACTGGTCGCCGGCTCCCTCTCCTCTTCTTGCCTTTGGACTTTCCTCCATTATCAGTCACCCCCTCAGCTCACCTTTCGATAAGAGAAGAGCCGGAATGAAGACAACACTTCGTGAAAGGCAGCCGCAGACAACTGGAAGCCACAGTCGCAAGAAAGCGACTCCTCTTCCTCTCTAGCGCGCGCTTTCCTCCCGTTACTTGGCAACCAGCGAAGCGCGAACTTACCCTGAGTCCGGAAGAAGGAGTCGGCGCATGATTAGGTGCGCGTGCGCAGCAATCACGAATCCCTCGAAACCTCTGTTTGAGAGAAGAAAACTGTAGAGGTATACCTAATACGAGTATAAATTTGTATTCCCGTCTGTGGCAAAGCATAAATAATTGCCCCGTTTGTAAATGATGCGTGTACATCCCTGCTTTGTTTCTAATCTTCAGGATTAACATTAGTGTTTCCTGCACATAAGGCCTAAAAACAAACAAACAAAAACAACCCAATTTTCATTTGTTCACGCATAGAAGGATCAAGATTAAACTATCAAACTTTCATTTACATAATTTTCTTTAGTTATTTCAATGTGTTAATTATTTTTCATTGATCCTTGTTTTCTTTTAGAAACTCACTTAGCTTGAATATTAATCCTCAAGCATTTCAACTATATGGCTAAGTAAATTCTACTAGTTAATGCTTAATATTCTTTCTGAATTGGAATGTGTTTGTGGCCTCTGGCATTATGGCTTTTGTTAAATTGGGTTGTTTTTGTTTGTTTGTTTTTAGGCCTTATGTGCCACCCAGAATCACTGTTGGGAAATGAATTGTTATAAATTGTGTAAATAAGTAAATAACTACCATAAATAGTATAATACATATAGTATGTGTACTATATTTTTAAAAGTATTGGTCCAATAGCCTTTCCCTGTTTTCTAGTTTTTAAATAGTATATTACATAAAACTACATTTATGTAATTACTTTAAACTGACTTTTTTCTGCAAAATTCCAATAAATAATTAACATAATATTTTAACATATTTCACACATACTGTCGAGGTCTCTCTCTCTCTCTCTCTCTCTCTCTCTCTCTCTCTCTCTCTCTCTCTCTCTCTCTCTCTCTCTCTCTCTATATATATATATATATATATATATATATATATATATATATATAAAAAATATCTACATACACATTTCTGCGTACGCCACATAGTTTGAACCCTATTCCCTTATTGAAACGCGCGTTATTTCTACGTCGAATATTAGCTCAAATCTTATCCTTCTCTCGGTTTTATTACTGGATGTAAGGCTGAGGATGACGGATGGTTCTGTTGGCTTCTGGGAAATGTAGTTCTTTTGAGCGTCTCAAGCGTCCCATTATCTTTGCTTTAGACTAGAGGGTTGGAACTACAGCTCCCAGATGACACAAGCGGTTGGAAAATAGGGGGCGGTGGCTTCGCCTCCTTTCATTACCTTCCGAACAAGACGCACTCTCTCTTTGCTGGAGCTGAGACTGCGGTTAGAGGTGACCTCGAGGAAGGAGGCCTGTCGCGTTTTCTGTTCCCATCATGGTTGGTACTATTTCACTATCCCTTTCGCGGCTAGAGGACAGATAGTTTGGCGAGATATAAAGCATAGAGTTATTATAAAATACACGTCGCAATAAAAGAGAAGGGCATGACAATCACTGGCGTGTAACTCCGTGGAGGGAGCTAAGAATGCTGCGTCTTTCCCTAGGAAAAAAGCAAGGAGGCCAAAGGAAGGCAATGAGTTTGCATCGGTAATTCAGTGGACGAACCTGTTTAAATGTGGGGAAACTGGAATTGCTTCCATTTATATAGGACTCGGATGAAGATAAATATCCGGATCAACGCTCGTATTAGAAAATGGGCGGGAGGGGAAGTAACTCCATTAAAGCTTGGAAGCTATTAGAAGAAAAGAACCTAGTATAATTAATTTTTGGAGACACAGAGGTGGACTTGAAGTAGAAGCGCAAGCAAGGAAACATGGGAGTAAGGAAAACCTAATTAAATGGCACCTGGGAATTTTAGTTGCAGAGCGGAGGGAATGATAACTGCCCTATTTTAACGCAAGTGAGTCTGAATTAGCCAGGATCCATGTTGCAAGGACTAACTACCACATTGAATGTATGTTCTGGGCTGAGTTTTTGGAACAATTGCGGAACAATCTGCTCTTTTAAAGCTGGGCAGTAAGAAGGGCATGCTATATGTAACTCCTGCATTCTGGAGAAAAATCCTTTAAAAGAAATGTATCCTCTTGCTTATACCAGTTTATTTAGAAAATTTGTACTGTACTTTGCCTGGTCGCTTAATGTTTCTGGACAGTTCACAAAGCGTTAACATCTTTCTGAAATAGAAAAAGCAATAGATACATAGAAAATCAAATGGCTAACAAGTTAGAAGGAGGAGATACTTTAGTAATTTATCTATTAAGAGAAGCATTGTTTCCAGTTGGAAATCACTAACTACTATAAGTATTCAAATGTGGTACTTCAGACAATAGCTGCAGAAGATGCTGCCAAGTTGCCCAGTCACAGTACCCCTTTGATGGTGTTCTGCTATGCAGCTGCTGCAATATTTGACCCGGTGGTATTGCTGTAATGACTTGTCTTGTGACTTTCAAGGTGATCTTCAAGTAGGCACATGCTTCATTTCCAAATTCTTGTCAGAATTATTGTCTCAGAAAGGTTAGAAAGCCAGGAAAGAGACCTATAAATTTCACTGTACTTTGAGCTTTGAGGATGTGCAATTTTCTCCTTGATTAGGAACATTTAAACTTCCCTCACTGAAGGAGAAGAGCAGGGGATGTTTTAATCATCACACGTTTGCTCATAGGCTATGGCTTGGAACTCTTTATAAATGATAGGAATGCTTTCTGAAATGTCCTGACTTAGATGTTCAACTCTTACCCAAAGTAGGTATTATTAAAACAGTACAAAGGATTATATCATTATACATATTTTTTGCTAAAAAATATGCCTTTATTTTTGACACTGTAATTAAATGGTATGTAGAAATTATAGGAAAAAACATATCAATTGTTGCCTAAATCTTTACTGCTTTTGCTAATGGTTCATTAATATTTTTTGTAACTTGAATAAATCAATATTTTGTTCAGATAGGATTCATTTGTATGCTAAAATTAATAGTCCTGAACTATTATATACATTTATCTTGCATGTACTGCATATATTCATCTTGCATACATTGACTTGGTATGGGGCACGCTCTTTGTTCCTGGTTGCTTGTACCGCAGATTCACAATCTAACTAGCTTTCACCTATAAGCTGCTATGCTAATGCAACAGCTTGTTAATAAGTCCCATCATTGTCAGCACTGCATGATTACTTTATACTGTTGCAATTATCATTGGTTCATAAGGTCAGTTCTTGCGTAGATGTGCCAAGAGCTATAATTTTGTCCAACAAGCATTTGTAATGCTTCTTGCACCTGTGCATTTTGGAGATAAGGTTTGAATATTGTACTATTGCTAATACAAAGTGTCGAGAAGGTAGGAAATGGTTTATCTTGTGTCATCCAACTTTCCAATTCTAAGAGAGCAGATTATACTTTATTTACTAACCCTTATCTATGGATAGCTGAAAATAGCTAAAGAATTCCTGGCAGACTGACTAATTCTCTTTTAAATGTCACCTGCACTTAACTTTCTGGTTACAATAGCAGATTTTTTCACAATCTTCTTTCTAAGCTTTATGTTCTTTAAAAATGTCAGTTCTACCAAAAGTACTGTACATTGCAAATAGCAAGAGAAAATGTTTCTCCCAGAGCTATATATTGGTTTCTACAAATAACCTTTCTTTTCCAGTCGGAACCAATCAGAGTCCTAGTGACTGGTGCTGCTGGACAGATTGCGTATTCTCTACTCTACAGCATTGCAAAGGGTGATGTTTTTGGCACTGAACAGGTAATCTGTTAATATATATATATATGTATATATCTATATATATATTCACAAGATTAGGTACAAAACTGGAAAACCTAAAACAAGAATGTTGCAGTGGTGGCAACCATTCCTATTAGTTCATTGGCCACCTCCAACACACCGAGCCCCTGATGGGGCACATTGTGGACCTCTTAAGCCAAAGATTTTTGGCTGGTGGGATCTAGGAGGAGAGGCTTGTCTTTTGCGGCCCTGCACACTTTGGAACATCTTACCCCTAAAGGTGAGGTCTATACTCACCCTTTCAGTCTTCCAAAATGGTATTAACACTAGGCTCTGCTGGTTGGCTTGTGGTCCTGAGGGGAACTCTCTGTGTTGAAGGTGGCTGATGAACTAATAGGAACGGATGCCACCACTGCAACATTCTTGTTTTAAGTTTTCCAGTTTTGTACCTAATCTTGTGCATATTTTAACCTTTTTGATTTAATTATAAACCACCTAGAATCTCTTTGCAGAGTGAGATGGGCAGCATATAAATTTGTTAAATAAATAAATAAAAATAAAATGATCTTGAAGTGGTTGAATTGGAATCTCTCAAGGACTTTCCCAGCAAGAACAAGGTGTCCTTGAAGCTACTATCTGTGAAAGAAGGGATAGCACTAACTCCCTGTACTTTGAATATCGTGGTAAATTGAAAGGACAATAGGAATCCAGTCTATTTATACTTACCTATTCAATTTTGCCAAAGATTTGTTCTAAGCGACAAACCCAGCTATTTTTATTTTGCAGCCTCTTATTCTTGTGCTGTTGGATATCACTCCCATGATGACTGTTTTGGATGGCGTACTTATGGAATTGCAAGACTGTGCTCTTCCTCTTTTAAGAGGTGACAAAAAATCAGAATTAATATTATGCAAATATTTAGGTTGGATGAACTAGGCCTCTGAACACAAGAAACACTGCCAGTTTCACAACATTATTTATGGAACTAAGTATCCTTCTGTATTTGGTGAACTGAAATATCAGCTTGTAAAGGAAATGAATTACCAGGTTTAAAGAAACAATACTTCAAGTGTGCTGGAGCATTTCATTTGTAATACACGTAGTCCTTGACTTATAATTTGTTCAGTGATCATGCAAAATTCCGACAGTGCTGAACAAAGGCAATTATAACCGGTGCCCAAAGTTATAGCCATTGCAGTGCCCCTGCAGTCACATAATTAGAATTTGGGCACTTGGTAGTCCATATTTGCAACTGCTTGAGGTGCTATTGCAGCTGTCCATCAGTGTATGCAAAACTGCCATAGCCAGGGA